AGTAGTCATCTGGCCAAATGGCTAGTTAACTGAGTTCACTATGAAGTTCACTACGTAGTCCCTGCTCCATATAGTGAATGAGAGGTTAGGGCGGATGTTCGGACACAGCCTATGTCTTGTACCGTATGTGTATTAAGTATATGCTTGCTGAACCTTCAGGAACTTTCAACATTCACTGAAATGTTATTGTTTCTTACAGAGATGCCAGACCTTGAGTAGGCAAACAGGGTTGCCATCTCACTAGTGATCAAGGCAAGTCGAAAGTCTGAAGAACGAAACTAGACAATGAGTTGGCAGCCATGTTGAAGAACACCTCTCTACCCAGTTTCCAAAGTGAAATCCCTGCAGGGAGTGACTGTTGGATACAGACATGCACAGACATCCGTAACAACATCCAGTGCTGTGCTTCGCTGTTTTGTTCTGCATGGACAATTCTGTTCAATTGAAAATGTGTTCCCTGACTTCAATGACTGCATTGGGATGTGCTGATGTCTTATACCCTGTTTCTCTCCATCTTTCCTTTTTCTGTTTTTGGATTTATTTCCAATGTCAGCTTATGTACAACGTGATTTCTAATGACAAGAAGGAAAAACGCCATTTTCCAAGTAGATTTTCTTATGACAGACTTCCCCTCTGTTTGTATTGTAAATTGCACTTATCTTTAATTTAAGAGGCAAGAATTCTTCTTTAAATTGAGATTTTCAAACATCTGCAAATATTTAACTGTAATTTCATTTTTTCTAAAATATGTTGCTGCATTCTAAATGAGCTGATATGTTTTTTCAACTACAGATTTGCAGTGAGAATATGGTTGTGGGGGTCTTAAATCTTGTATGTTCACATCTTGGAGAGGCCTTGTTTTCTTAATGCTGTCTTTTAGAGATCTTCCTTTGTTGCAAATATTGAAAGCATTTTTTGCCCCTTAAGTATTATGTGAGAAGATAAATTGGCTGCAGTTCACTAAAGGTTGCTAATTGGTTAAAATTATTTATCATATTAAAAAAACCTGCTCTGAATACTTTTGATTCTAAGTATCAAAACTTGTTTATTGTTAGTGTTGGGAATTTGAGAATTTTTAATAAACTAACAATATAAAAAACATGCTGTTTACTTTTATTCTGCTAATATCAGTGCGGAACAGTTTGCTTAATTATTTATAAAGGGAGCTAAGAGCACTACATTGCTAAAAGTAATGGGTCAATTTCAATCACAAACCTTAGTGGTCCAACTTCTAATTCTAATACTTTATTGTGGTTCTCATTCCAAGCTCAATAAAAATGATAAAACCTACAAGTTGAACACAATTTTATAATTAGGTGAATGTATTGTGAATTTGGTCATGACGAATATACACATACAAGCTTTAACTAAATGACTGACGGAAAGCTGAATCAGCTATAAGCTTGTTTCCATTTAAAAGCTTATTAATATTTTAGCATTCTTTAAAATAAAATATCAATTTCTGTTTTGGGGGAACTTAAAAGAAGAAATGAGGTAAAGAATCTTGTGCAGAGACAAGAAGGATAAAAGAAGGGCACAATAAGCACAAACCAAAAGTTCAAGTTATTTGATTTAGGCCATTCAAGAAACCAAATAATTGCGCTTTAATCATTTTTCAGGTTCATGTTGGGACTCGCAATTATTTCATGTTTCCAACCATAATGGTTAAAAGTTTGAAAGGGGTCCAAGTAATACTCTTACAACTAACTGGTTTCTACACTAACAAGCATAGCGGTGGTAGCATTATGGCGGAGGAGCTGTCCTGCTGCCACTAGTCCTACAGTTTCTCCATACTGCTCCACCTGAAATGATCAATTAGCTGGTTTCATTTTAGATATGTTTTAACATTACAGAACAGTAATTACAACTGATGTTTGGAATGGATACAGCAGGCCCAATTACAGACCTAATTTAATGCACCACAGTACAAACCATTGAGTTCAAATCAGCTCCACCATTTCTGATCAGTTACAGCCAAAAGGGTTTTCCCCAGTTGATGGTCTTAAACTTCATTGATTTCAACAACAAGATGAAAGAATTGTGTGTGTTTGATCCCAGTGAATCTTGTGAACCTTTCCCTGATTTTCTTTTTTCCAGTTGTGGTCAGATTTAAAGCAAATGGCAGGTGACTTTTGTAACTAAACAAAAACTGACCATCTCATCACTGTATTGTGCTTTAAATACAATACCTCTGCCTTCCATCCTTTTACTGGGACTTCCTGGTAGGGACTTACCATCTTTACTTTCATATGGGCTGAAAGGGGAAATACCAGCCTTTATTCCTCTTTTCTGTTTTCGTTATATGACGTGTAAATTGGTAGTTTAGTTTTGCTGTGTGTAATTTTTCTAACTCCATATTTCCGCCTTACCTCAGTATCATAAAAGTTCATATGGTCAGCATTTACACTTATGTTCATTAACATTTATTATCAAGCCATATGCAGATTTTAAGCACGTTTTGTACAACCCTCCCAAAAATCAAAAGCAGTTTCCTTAAAACCAAAATCCTGCATCAACCAATAAGCTGTCATTTAATTTTTCTCTTTCTCCAGTACGTCTTTACTGCTGCACTGTTTTTATAGAGATTGTCTGCCCCTGTGTGAGATGTTTAGGGGCTGCAGGTTATAAATGCGTCAGCAGTCTGGAGCAAGAGAACAGAAAGCACCATGCAAGCATCTTTTTAACACCCTCCAAACAAAACTGTGAGCTTTAACCTACAAAAGATGGCTTAAGAAGTCATAGGGGTGGGGGGTACAAAATGCATGTCCAACTTATTAACTGATAAACTGAAAACATAATTTTTTTTTTTTAATTGAAGAAATCAACACAGTCCACAGACATTTTTGGGAGATGTACAGTCAAATCATCTGCTCTAATTTGTATAAATGTTTGAAAATCTGAAACACAATGAGATCGAAAAAGAAAATTCAACTAGTGATTTCGCCACTCTTGGCAGCAGGATAAGGAGCTCCCAGATTCAACTGTAAAGGCAAGAAAAACAGGCTATAGAAAACAGCCGAAACCGTTACTGTTAGCGTTTTGTTTCCCTGCTTGAATAGGGTGAAAGCAGTAAGCTCAGCATAAACCTTTCAGAGAGCTGTGGCCGCCCCTGTAGCTGGCCTGGTCAGCATGACGCTCCAGTGCAGAAGCTCTATACCAGGTTGTCTCTCCCCTCTTCCTCTTTGGCTGTGGATTTTCCACGGCTTTATCTGACCTGAGCCTCCAAACCAATCCACTGCATACAATGCAAAGCTCTGTCTAATCAGTTTTGTTATAGAACATTTTCTGTTGTCTTTTTTTTTTTTTTTTTTTTTTCAGGACACAACGTTGGGAAATTACTGGATACTTATGGTTCACAGCATCTTCATCTGAACTTTGAATTTGAAATACTGCAAAAAAAAAAAAAACCATTGGAAGATCAGTCATTTCTATTTTTAAAGGTATCCCCTATAACAATTTTACATGTTCAACATAAAATAAAAATCCTAAAACTTAGAAAACAAAAATCTTGTTCTTTATTTATTATTTTTTTTTTTTTACTTTTTTGGAATAGCTATGACCTGGATGACATTTAAGAAGCAAAAACTGCCTTAATCATACCTTTCTTTAATTACCAATTAGGTATATGTTAAAAGACATTTCCCATCTAAGAGAAATGTGAAGGCAACAATAAAAAATGGTAAAAGAGGCATATGCCATGACTTTTGAAATATTTTTAGACAGATTAATTTAAAATTGATTTATTGCAACACCAAAACAGAGAACTTTGTTAAATAAACCAGTTGCTGAATTCCATAATAAATAAATAAATACACAAGAATAATAAAATGAAATAAAAAAACATACCAGCTATGAGACACAGAGGTGGACGTATCATGCTTTGGGATCCTTGCTGCAGGAATAGCTAATCAGCTCACAAGTAGTATCAAATTGATCTACTGTGTACCAGAGGTTGTTGGAGGAAAACTTAGACACCATTAAAATATAAGCAAAACTGGACTTTGTGACAATCACCCCAAAATAGTTATTAATTCACCAAAGACTGTATGAGAAACACAAAATGGAAAGTAATTGAAAAGGTGAAAGCACAGATTTTGACTGGAAATGTGCTAAAAACAAGTGTTCACACCAAGACAACTTGCAACACTTCTATTGTTAAAATTAATAGTGCAAAATATAAGAAACTGAAATAATCTAAAGTGTGTTTATAATGTAACAACAGCAGATTAATTTGTAAATTTCCAAATAAAACAAAGCTAATCTGTAATTAAGAGCCAGATGCAGTTGCATTTGATTTTCTGACTTTTTCACTCCTCATAATTGATAAAAACAATTCAATGGCTTTAGTGAAACTTTTTTTTTTCTGAATGATATTCAGTAGCACAACTTTATTTCTTCATGCTTCTCTTCTACAGTTTTATCGATTGTTAGATGAAAGTTAGGAATTCAAAGTTGTTTGTTTAAACTAGAGATACCGATCTGATACTTGGATTTGGATATCTGCAGATCTCGATGCTTTTTCAATAACAAATATGCAGCTGCAAGGGTTCAAATGGACTGTATTTAATTAAAGACGGATGCCCATAAAGAGCTAAACTTTTCATCTGTTAAACTTTATTTCAATGTATGATAGAAATGGCCTGAATGCATCTGCCCCTATGGATAATTCCCATTTTTACTGATACCCACTCTAGAATTTTCTTCATTAATGGGACCATTGTAAATAAGTAATGTTTGCAATGCTAAAATTAGGGAGTCAAGTCCTGAGTCTGAGTTAATTGCATCATGTTGAGCAAGAGTCAATTAAGTTGTTTACTTAACAAAAAATAAAAGAAGAAATCTCATTGTTTTTAGTGAGCAAGCTCTCTCTCCAAATGACCAACTAGCAAGAGAAGGGTTAAGTGACATTGTTTTGACTTGTGGTATTGCCCCCTAACCCCTCCCCTTGGCTCAGTGACACTGCTGTGGCGTTGGCGGGTTATAAAAAGACCTCTGTGGTCCCCCCGCTCTGATAAAGGGCCTTAATGTCTGCAGGACATACTTAATATTTGCCCACTCATGTTCCTCTTCTAACAACGAGTGAGGGTTGGCACATAGATGCACAGAGACTGGCTTACTGCTCCACTCAGGAGCCCTCTATGACAAAAAACAGATTTAGGAAGGAAGAGTCGCAGGTTACTTACTGTTACATGTTGAGCCCTTTATGTGTTGTTGCATTTAGCTTTAGAGACAGCTTCTGTTTGAGTACTATTTGTCAGTCCTTTCAGACATTCTCACCTTGTGGTTGATTAGTTTCTTCTCACCTGCTTAGAATCTGCTTTTGGACTCTGTACAATCATGTGGGAGTTTAGGTCCATGTCTTTCTGGCGAGCGGTCTTCGCCGAGTTCTATGGCACCATGTTCTTTGTATTCTTTGGGTTGGGTGCGGCCCTCCGCTGGACCACAGGGCCCCACAATGTTCTTCATGTTGCCTTTGCTTTTGGGCTGGCGGCTGCCACCTTCATCCAGTCTATCGGTCACATCAGTGGAGGACACATCAACCCTGCTGTCACTTTCGCCTACCTGATCGGATCCCAGATGTCCCTGTTCAGGGCTTTCTTCTACATCGTGGCCCAGTGTCTTGGGGCGCTGGCTGGAGCTGCTGTGCTATATGGAGTCACGCCCAACAATATGAGAGGAAACCTGGCACTAAATACGGTAAAGTGGTCTGAATTAAACCTGAATACTCAATTGACTAAGCTGGCATTTATTACAATCTTCTGCAATTTAATGAAGTAGCTCAAATATAAGCGGTTTCATAATATGTCTTAATTAAAGCACACCTTTCCTTTTATTTTCTAGATTTGTTTTTTCCCTTTCAGTGTTTTCTTCATGAACTCACCTCACTTCTTTTTTTTAATTTTTGTCAAACTTTCACAGCTGCAGCCAGGTATCAGCCTGGGCATGGCCACCACGATCGAGATCTTTCTCACCTTGCAGCTTGTTATCTGCGTCTTTGCTGTAACAGATGAGAGGCGCAACGGACGCCTGGGCTCTGCTGCTCTGGCTATCGGCTTCTCTGTGCTAATTGGACATCTTCTTGGGGTAAGAAACTAGCATCGGCTGCAGAATTATAAAACTTATTTTAGGGTTGATCAAAACAATTAATAAAAACTACATTTTCATACAGGCATAAGCTTTTTAAGCATTATTATAAGGTTCATTACTTAATTTTCAGGGGAAATGCGTAAACATTTAATCTGAATAAAATAAGACATGCTTTATAACTGATTTAGCCATGGATAATTTCCATCTGCAGGCATGTCCTCCAAGGATGAAAAACAACTTCCTTCTCATGAGGGCAACATGAATTTACTATTGCAAGTTAAGGGCACACAAACAAGACCTCCTATCCTAAATGAGGAGCTATGGGGTTTCTGATCAGAAAAAATCCTTCTTTATTTTCACTGTTACAAGTGAAAATCCTCGACTAAACAATCATAATATCCTAACATTAAACACAACTGTCCTGCAACACTAATGTGTTCCAGCTCCAGTTTACCAGAAATGAAAACTGTTTGAATCCTATTTCTACCATTACAGTATGGATTGAAGTCATAATCTAATTGGAGTACTTCAATTTTAAAGAACTTAACAACAGTGAAAGAGATGAATGGTCCTCTCTCCAGTCCTTACTTTATGTAAATAAATGTAAATAACTTAAATGTAAATTAGCAAGGTTTGTGAAAGATTTTTTTCTGTGTATCCTCAACTTGTAATTGTGCATGATTAACATCTTAATATCCAACTCAGTTTGGGAAATTCTATCATATTTTGCGTTCCGAAATGGAAAAGCAAATAACTTAGGAACTCTATGCCCAAATTACATGTTTGATACATCATTTGAAAGCTAACACCCTCTAGTTTCTATTGGGTGACTAAATTACAGCCCAAGCTGCATCAGTTCAAACATGACTCAAAGTTGTTTTCTTATTCTCCAAAGTAATAGGTCTTTTTTGAGTAGCAGTAATAAAGACATTCTTGGTTGTTGTGGCTGCTTTGTCATGTTTACATTTTGAAATGCTGCTATATCTATATTAATTGTGCTTTGGTGCTCACTGTGTCCATAAAATGAACTTGGTGGTTGTCTATATTGGTAAACATTTTAACATTGCAATTTTCATGCATTCTGAGTTATTAGTTGTAAATGCTTTAAAGGGGTCATAGAATGATTCTATTGGGTATGTGGTGCTGCTCCTTAAGGTCTCTGAATAGGGTGTGTAACATTGGTTTGGCTGAAAATGGCATATTTGCTGTTCTATGAGCCCTAATGCAAGCCTGGTTGAAAGCCCTAAAAGGAAACGAAATGGGGGCCTCAGCCTCAAAATGAAGCTGCTGAGCTTACTTTTACTTTTGTGCCTAAAACTGTTCTCAGTCTTGATGCAGTAGATTTGGCAAACATACACCACTGGTATCATTCTGACCAATATAAGAGATACACTAAGAATGCATTGCAAGTTAACAAATAGCAGCCAGGGTTATGACAGTCTAATTCTGCATAAAAGCATACTAATACCTAATACTAATACTGTGCTATACTGATAAATTATTTGTATTTAATTTAGGATCTCTGATTGCAAAAACACCAATAAAATTTTTATAACACATGACTGAAAATATATTCAGGCTGAAAGGGGTTTAAACTGGTCTACAAAATGTTCCAGGTTGTTTGTATCTTTGGCTAATTGGTCTGGAAAAATGTTTCCAGAGAACATACATAAGCAGAGCATACAAGCTCTGCTTTGCACTGTAAAGACATTTACAAAAACATTTAAGTCCAATTAAGTATTTTATATTTAAATATACCAACACATTGAAATGTAAGATGAAGCCTTAATACCTTTTCACTGTTATGACCAGCATGTTTTTAAAGAAAATAAAATAGCAGTAGTAACTCTGAACCATTTGATCTGTCTGTCATTTAGATGTACTACACAGGAGCAGGAATGAACCCAGCAAGATCCTTCGCCCCTGCTGTACTTGTCAGGAACTTTATTAACCACTGGGTAAGATATTTAAACATGTTTACTTTACAATGAAAATGTCTAAACCGGATCCCTGTGGTGTTTCTAAATATGATAATGCTGATTTTTCCCATTTTTTTTTTAGGTGTACTGGGTAGGACCCATGATCGGAGGTGCAATAGGAGCTCTGCTTTATGACTTCTTGCTGTTTCCGCGCATGCGTGGGCTCTCTGAGAGGCTCGCCACACTGAAGGGCACCCGGCCCCCAGAGGCAGAGGCCCAGCAGGAGACCAGGGGAGAATCCATTGAGCTCAAGACACAGGCCCTATAAATCTGGAGATATTTATTTGACCCCCAAACCCCTCCATACACACCTTCCACCTTTCATGTCACCCTCTGAACCCTCGGTTACTTCTCCATCCACAGCCCTGTCACTTTTTTTGCACACAGACCTCCTCCCTCTTTATCAACACTCAAAGAGTGATACAAAGCCCCGTTTTGTAATTCATGTTTTGCTCCTTGTGGGACCTACTGAGAAGGGACAAACAGCCCTAAATATCTTACACGATCTCACTTCCACCCAACGTTTCATGCCCTCTTCTGGAAGGGGAGGAGGGGCGGGGGCGGGAGTGGTTGAGGACTTGCCACCATATGATGCGACCAGCCGCCTGTAGCATGGTTAATTGGTTACTTCTGGCTGACCACACAGTTATAACTGCCATGACAGTACTTCTGTTTTTGTTTATTTCTCACACCTTTTATTTTGCTAGGAGTGAAGCTACAGTAGAACAATGGACCTCTGCCTGCATTTTCATTTTGATCCAGCGTGACCTCGCTCCTTGTTTTGTTTATGACCTTTGGCTGAAAATATGTATTGATAAAGTTCTGACCTTATTTCCTTTCTTTTAGCTGTATGTGCATGTGTACACATGGGTGTGATAGAGTGAAGGTGAGAAAGACAAACTGAGTGTGCCTGCATGTCTGTGTGCATGTGTATGCTTGTTTTAACTATTTTTTTTCTGAATTTAATTGCCAGAATTGTTTGTATTGTAAGTTTTGATGCTGCATTGATTGAAAAATGTCTTTTTCTTGCCTTTATTGAAAAAGTGCGAATGATTACGAAAGGCCTAGTCAATTCATGTTTGATCTAATTAGATTGTTCCTTTAGATGGATTGATTAGGATTTAATTCTGACACATAGCCCCTTTCAAACACTTAAAAATCTGCATTTTATGCAGTATTTTAAAATAATAATTCATAGGTTAAATAAAATGTTTTTCTTTTTCGATAGTTGCCCATTTAAATTTGTATTATTCCACCCAAATCTGTAGCATTTACTGTATTAGTTTTAGCTTTTGTATCTTTCACATTTGGATTATATACAGTTTTTCTGTTGGTTTACACTTTGACTTTTCGTCTCCCAAGTTTTAGAGCAGCGCTTCACCAAAGATTCATGTACAGGTGTGTTTGAGTTATTAGATTTTTATTCTCTATGCCTCCTAATGACAAACTGGACCCACTGTTAAGAAGAACAGGTATTTTATTTTTATTGCCATTTTTTTTCTCCAATAAATAATGCATCTTACAACTTAGAATGTTTAGGCTTTTATGTTGAATAAGGATTAGAATATGCAGAATATATGAGGTAAGACAGCTTTCTGTAGGAGTCTGCAGTCAGTGGTAAAGGGAGACCCAATTTGAAAGAACTAGAAAAAGCTGTTTGTAAATGAGTTTAAATCTTCAGTGTGTTTTTACAGGGTGCAAAATATGCATCTTTATCCTCATACAGTCTACAGGGAAAAAATTAAGTTTGAAGTTGAATTTGTTCTCTCCCTCGTGCATTATTTCTCCTTCCTTTGGGATGTGGCTCAGAGAGGAATTAGCACTTTGCTAATTGTACCAGAACATTTCTTGAACCAAACTTTGTACACCGATTCCTTTCCTGCTTTCTCATAATAACCTCTCTTTTTGTACCCCAGTGTGATTTCAATGGCTGTGGTTCAGTAGAATCTAAATTTAAAGAACATATTGAAATTAGAATTTGTTTTCCAATGGAAACGTTAAGATGTACAGTGAAAGTTTTTTTTTAAAAGACTGTTGCAACTGAATGAAAACTGGACTGATAAAATGAATACGATGATTGCTATTCATATGAATACAGGCGATTTGAACTTGCTATGTACCCCCATTTAATCGGTCATCCTTTGTGGTAACTGGCAAAGTTTGGCTATTATTCATTTTCCATGTCCAAAAAACAAGCAAAAAAATCAGTTTGCAATTTCTTTCTTTTTGTTTTTGTTCTTTTTTGGGTTTATTTGGAGTGTATACAATCAAATACAGAAAGGACATTTGTATATAGCAAAATCTGGACAGACATATGGAACAGTGAGTACATGTAATATTTCACATTTCTGGCCCCAATGTGTATAAACAAACCTTAAATGCGATTTTTTCAAATTATCTATCTGCTGCTTGTCAAGAAAATGAAGTGTTTTGAAATAATGAAACTAACAGCTGAATAGTATTTGCAAATAAATCCACTCAATTATTTTGGGAGTTTCAGTTTTACAGAAATTGAAATCTTATGTGTATGGCATCACAATAATCAAGAGAGGTCTACCAAAACCTACAAACTCCTTAAAGTATGAAACAGACACATGACAAGGAACATTGAACAATTTACATGCAAAAAATATGAAAGTGATGGCTTAAGAAAAACTGAACCTTTTCAACTTAATCCAAAAAGTGCTTTTTAATAAGGTTTTTAATTCAAAGGAATAAAAACAGGAATTCCAAAAAGAATTAATTCTTTCATCACAAAACATTCTTCTTAAAGCAAAGCAGGCTTTTGTAAAGCAGTTGTGGCCATTCTATATCTTACTGCTCTTAAGAAACAGAGACTTGTTTTTCCCAGAAGATGAAACTACCAGATAATCTAATCAGAGTCTACAGTCTTGTTAAAATAATTACAGACTCAAAGATCCCCTTTCAACTTTAATCCGTTGTTAGGTTTAACTTAACTGGCTGCTTACAAAGGACCACCATGGAGGGTCTTAGTCTGTAACAAGGACATTTAAATTTGCAACATGTGATGTAAAACTGAAGGTGAAAATGGTTCCCTCTGAGCAAAGTTCTGCTACGAACAAAGAGAAAAATATACACAGCAAGTTAAAGTTTTGCCTGAAACGTTAAGATTTCATTAGACTGTGGGTAAGATAGTTATCTACATATCGTCACAAAAACTCTTTAAAAAAAGTCATCACTACCCCTTAAAATACCGTTGGGATTTTTGCAAAATGTAATTTAATCTTAAATGCTATTAAAATGTTTAAAAGCACAGATTCTTATTGAGAGACATTCATTTGCAGCAGTCTATTTACAACAGTACACACTAGAATCTGTATAGCATGAGGTTGTCATCACTGTTGTTGGCCAGACAACTATTGTGTGGATGTAGTTTTGTGTGTCTTTGTGATGGGCCAATGATCCATCCTGTGTACTAATAATATGAGATAGCTGTATGCATGTACAGCAGTGTGTGTTTACTTAAGCTTTTTGGAAAAATACTAGCAGCTAGAGCTTGACATATAAATATAATAACAAATAAAAGTTTTTAACGCAGTTATAACCAAAGCCTTACCCACAACCTGTAGCGCATCTGCCATCTGTTATGAGTGTCCATCAACATGGTATAGTACTGCATTAAGCAGCGACGGAAAAGCCAAATGTTTGTTGTGTTACCAAAGCCCACTTTAACAAAGAACAATAACTCGGTCTAAACCCCAGCTGCAGCATCTATATTGTGTACTATTATTTGGTATTAAAATGTTTAACATGCTGTAGTAAGTACTTAGGTAGTAAATACAGGTTATACTATTGTAAAATACAATCCAATAAATGACACCCTACCTTACTAAACACAAAACAAGATAACAAGAATAGAATAAGATCTGATAGGTTCCAGTAGATTATGGCTTACAGAGCTTGCTGCTGTACAATTATCTTATTTAGCTTAATACAAGCAAAGGAAGGAAAATAATAAAGTGTGAACACATCCCCCAGCCCCCATATAGCGACATAATAACTGCACCATTAAGAATAAAAAACAAATGACATGAAAAGCCCTTTTAGTCAGATGGGTTGTTGCTTTAAAGTACTCAAAGTGAATTTATAATATTAGGTTCCTTAGATTAGTAGCAGAGATAAATACTTAAATCGAAGCAGGGATGTCATATCAATCTTGAATTTAGGTTCATTTAACATACATACAATCTTTGTTTGCTGGAGAAAGCACAACAAGGAAGATAGCAACAACTATTGAACAGTTCTCGTTTGACTATAATTGTCCTATTTTTCTAAAATGGTTTCAAAGTTATTTTGGACAATAGAAGTAGAATCCATTTCTGGATTGTTCAATCTAAGTGTTTCAGATTTTGAAACAGAGATGAATGAAAGCACTACATAGGTAAAATGAGTCAAATAACGATTTGGGAGACTTTCATTGGAAACTTTAGACCAGTGCGATGTGGAACAAATACTTACTGGCGATTATTTGAGTATAGCGGCCATTCCCATCACAAACTTTAGCTTTGGTGGCAATTATCACATTTTACCACTCTTAAACAGAAATATATATTTAGACTCACAAGAGTTTCTATTTACACTCAGATCATACTGTAGCATTTGAGTTATGTAGGCTAAGGTTGTCTTCACTCTTTACTTGCAATCTGTCTTGATCTCAAAAATCAGCCAGTAGGAGATTTTTCTAACAGTTCAGGGAGAAAAAATCATAATCCATCGAATCTGATGCACTAGAAAACAAGCAAACAAAAATATAGTTACTATTTTTCATAGCCTTAATGGATCATTGAAAATTGAATAACATGCTACTAGATAATATAATTTAATCTAACAGAACAGAAAAACAATACTTTGGCAAGGCAGGAGCGTCCACAGTATCATCATCAGGAATCTGTAAGTTCCCCAAAGCCGCATTGAATTCCTCCCTAAAATAAAAACAAATATATTACAAAAACAGTTTTTTGCCTTTTCATAAGCAGGATTATTTTAGTTTCAAATGAGAAAAACCTGATTCAAAATATGTCAACATCAATGTTCAATAATACATTTTTTTGAAAAGACCCATCCTCTCCACTTAAAAAAATGCACATGCACAACCCTGTACCAGCTCCCGAGAGGGAACGCCTATTAAACGCGTGCCCATTTCTCCTCGTGCATGCTCTGTTTAAAAGTTGCTGTTTGCATCGCTCATACAAGCTTACTTTCCAAAAGAAGCAAATTTTCCACTATGTCAGACTGACCACCGGTAAGTAGAAATAGGGACGAACACGTAGGACGGCCTTACATAAACATATCACCAGAATGATTGACAATTAGGAGGACCACTTATTTAGATGATCCACCCAAAAAAAGAATATCCTTCACTATACCTGTGAATAAGTATTTACCTCCTAAACTATTTTTTTTGCTTTTTCTCTCACTGTAAAAAAACTGAAAAATTCAAAATCACATTATAGCATAATTTTAATTAGTTACAAAAATAGAGCCATCTGACCCAAGCTTACCCAGGAATGTAAAACAAATGACATCCCCTTCCATCAAGTGTTTGTGATAACTAGTAATGGATCTTATTAGTTGGATGAAATTTGATCTTTGGGGAGGGGGTTAGCTAGCCTGGGTGCCAGTCAGAACTTAGCCCCGCCCACAAGGTTTGAGTTCGGGGAAGTTCGGTCTGGCTCTGCTCCGTAGTAGCGCGAGTATTATCGCCCACTGTCAGGCGATCCAAACAAATTGTCAGGGCGGACTTTATACGATGATGGACAGATGATCAAGAGTAACGTAATCAACCACGTGACCAAAGCGCGCTAGGGTGACAACAATAATGGCTGCCGCTGGAGAGTTTGGGTGAGTAGATTCTGCTATTAGGTCTGTTCTAGAAGATATCGACAGCAAATTAATTTTAAAAGAGGAACAGAGAAACGCGATCAAGGCTCATCTTCTTATTCTAGGCGTGAAACTGCACGCTTTGATTTTTGTGGACAACAACTATGCCTCGCTTAACATACGTCCCGCACTCCGTTGCTCTTATTGGTTGTAGGTCTATCCAATTGAGTGCAGAGGCATTTTTTTTCCTGGTTCGTTCGAAACACGCCCCATAATCACAGCTCTATGGAGCAGTATCAGACTCATATTCTGACTAGAATTGAGTCGGACTACGTCAGGCTAGGGGTTAGCCATCCGGAGTCCAAATTATCGGTGTGCAGTGGATACTTATCCTGTTGTATAAACCAAACCAAATAAGCAATAGCTGAAGATTACAAACTGTTATTATAGCCCATCTGCGGACCTTTAGAATTTTGGTTTTACCTTCACAAGCATAGCAAAGGCTTCTTTCGCCAGCTACATAAAAAAATTACCCCATTTACACTATCCTCTGAAAACTGATCCATGCTGCCCACGCTAGCACGGTTCCTCGCCTCCTACCGACGATCTAGGGTAATTCTGCTCTCTAGAGGAAAATAAGCAAATCAACATGGCAGAGCCCATAATATTCAAGAAGTTTGGGAAGAGTCAGACTTCCTCATTAAGGGACAATAAAGGATTAGCATTTTTTTTATGTCACACTATTCATTCTTTTTTTAAATTAAAGTTGTTGAAACGTGACACTGATATTGGTATTAATGTTATCTATCCATCCATTTTCTGACATGCTTAATCCCAAGTGGGGTCACGGTGCCTATTTCTAGCTGTCTACGGGCAAGAGGCAGGGTACACCCTGTATAGGTCACCAGTCCATCGCAGGGCAACACAGAGACAAACAACCATTCAGGCACACACTAACACCTAAAGAGAAGAAGAAGCAAATTTTGGACTGTGGGAGGAGAAACCCACTCATGCTCAGGGAGAACATGCAAACTCCATGCAGATTCCCGGGCTGGTAATCAACCCGCAACCTTCTTGCTGCAAGGCAGCAGTGCTACTCACTGCGCCGCCCTGTTAATGTTCTGTCTTTTCCATTTATATTAAGAGTTCACAACAAGAAAAAAGTGACAGTGGAGAGAGTTTAGGTATGTATATTACTGGCTTTAATTATTTTTAGTTTCAGTCAGTGGCAGTTCTTGAATCAATAGCGCTGTGGAAAAGCCCATACCTTTGTTTCCCTTAATCAAAACAAATATAGGAGAGCATCTTAATTGTGAATAAAAGACTTGCAGTCCTAAACATCTGATTATCCCAATATTTTTAGCAGCAAGCAGGTAACCTTTTCTGACTGAATATACAATTATTCGTGGTTATACAGTGGTATTATATAGAGAAAAGTGATGGACAAACACTTACATGGGCAGGCTCAAGTCTGGCAAATTATCGTCCCTTAAAAATAAATTTTAAGGAAAAATGAGGTTAGTAAGGTCATAAGATGGATAACCAAATACTTACATACTTAGAATAAAAAATAAATAAAGTCCTTGCTATGTTAACATTCACCTAAAGCCAAATGTGTCCTACACAGACACTAGAATACTGTTGTTCCGTCCTAAAACCTAAACCTAAAAAATCCCTGAATTCAAATACCTATAGCTATTCAGTATAATGGCCTATAGTTATATTCATCTTACATATATGTTTTTGAAATAAGCCACAAAAAAATGTTTAAACACACCTAAACCTTTTTTATCTGCTGTCTTATGGGTCTAAATCAACTATAATTGTGTTATTGATCTGTTTGTATGTCAAAATATGATTCCAATCAATTCACAACTCTCCAATTGAGATGATGATATATTAAATATACTAGACAATGGCTCGAAAAAAAAAACAACTCATCAGAATTTCACGATTTTAGGAATCAGGAATTTAAAAACAGTAGCCCTATCTTCTAATTATAACAAAAAATAAAATAATAGAGGATCTTTCAATATAGTGTCATGCCATGTATATTTTAACACACAATAGCAGACTTGTTCACAGGTCATTTTTTGCAAGTCAAGTCTTAAGTCTTGAGTACGCTGTTGCTATAATCAATTAATGGCATAATAAATTCTAATTACAATTATAATTAAAATAAGTGCAATAATTTGTGTAGACATGCTTGCTTATTTCCCCTTGTGTTTCCATCTCTGCCACTCAAATGATTAACTTGTCTATGAAAGTAATCTTACAATGGGTAGATTCCTCCCGGCGGATGTTCCCTGAAACAGACAAATAGTGTACATTATATGATTTGAGCCTTTTAAATGAAGCCTCTTGTTTAACAAATGTAATTAAACCAAAAATAAAAATAGAATTCAAACAATTTTGGGTGACAGTGGTAAAATCAGCTGAACAGAGGACGTAATATTTACGCTAAAGTCTAAATAACAGAAAAAAACAGAAAATGAAAAGTGAAGCTGTGTAGCAGAAGAGTCAAAAATAAACTATTGTGCAGTTATTAAGAAAATTCAGATATTGGTTAAAAAAATTCAAGTTTTGAAGCTAAAAAAAGGAACAGTTTACAAAATTATGCAATAACTGCATAAGAAACATGACTGTAGAAGCAACACTTTCAGAGGAGGCGAAAACACTGCCAACAACAATTAAAATCTGTAAGACCCATATTGAATGGATTTGAAAGAGTGAAAATAATTCTTGATCAGTTCAAACAATAGCATGTTTTAAAACACTTATTGAGCCTTTTAGAAGCAGTCAAGGCAGGGCCGGCGATTGCTATAGGCGAGCTAGGCAATTGCCTAGGGCGACAAATGTGTTGGGGGCGCCCTGTCGCCCTTAGGCTTACTTCCCATTAATCATAGAATTAGAAAAAAAAGCGAATTAAACCGGTTATGAAGCGTCCGTCAGTTTGACTTAACCTTACGTATATATAAATAGCATAATATGAACAAATAAATATACCACCGTTTTTTATTTATTTTTTCACATTTAAGAGAAAATCGGAAAAGATTCTGATCACTTTTCAAGCGCCCTCCAACCCGGAAGTCGTGACGTCAATCACTGCAGCATGTACACCAATATTTTGGAATGAAATTGTAAGCAAACAGATATTAAAAGTAAAACAAGTGAAGTCTGGCAGTTAACTTAGCTCGCGACTCGACAATGGCTGAACAGGGGGGGGGGGGGGGGGGGGGGGGACTAGAACCGGCCCTGAGTCAAGGCTGTAAATTTTCTAACTGTAGCTGGAAGGAAGTATGTCAAGTTGCTCCTTTGTGCAACTCGGATAACAGTCACTGAAGGAGCTCTTCAGTTCATTAAGGGTTAATAGGTTTGAAGCATTTTGCACAATTTCATATGGGTTTTATTGTGACTATCACTGAACACTGTAAAAAAATCAAATGAAAAACGTTTTCAGCTACTTACTCTCCAACTTTAGTCTGCAGAGACACAGGAATGTAGCCAGACATGTTTGGCGCTGGACGTCCTGTTTCAAACAGGAGGAGAAATAAAAAACCCTGGTTAATGACTCTAAAACCAATAATTCGGAAAACACAAAGCAGCCTTTGCAAAAACCTTACCTGAGTAGTACTTTTGAAAAACGTCATGTTTTGGCAAGTTAGGATAAAGGTACGTGATCTCATTTATGTCTCGAATGCGGTCACCAAGGCTGCGTATCTCAAGATCTCTCTTGGTGAAAGGCTGAATGTTCTGGAACAGTGGCATCCCATCTAGAGGAAGAGTAGGTTTAATATGTCACTGCTAATGGTTAAGTGTTCAAGGTTGAAAATGGAAGAATAACATAGTGTGTTATGCATTTGTCCATAGCCTCTGATGGCTTTGCCAAGTCTGTATATAGATTGAAGTCTGGTTGAAGCTCACCTACTGTAAAATGAAACTCCATCACCTATTAGTCTTCAGCCTCTAACAGTATTGCACTGTTTTAGCTCCACCTATCTTTCATCATTTCAAGGCCAGTTTCCCCTGCTGTAGAAATACATCTTCATAACATGAAGCTTCCACCACCATGTCAGGGTGATCTGCCATGTTGTTTGCAGCACAAAATGTTTTGCATGTAGCCTTAATGTTAAACATAATCCTGGGTGTCGCAGTGGTTAACGTGCACGGCCCATGTACGGAGGCCTTAGTCCTTGACACGGCCGACCTGGGTTTGAACCCGACCTGTGGTCCTTTGCCACACTCTCTCCCCCTCTCTCATAACCCCTTTCCTGTCAGCCAACTGTCGCAAAAAACGAGCCACTAGTGCCATAAAAAAAAAAAAAAAAAGTTTAACATAATCCTGATCTAATCAGAGCACCTTCTCCCATATATTTGCTAAATTAGTTTCTGACCAACATTAAACAATATTACTCATGACTTTATCTTTGGCAATGTTTCCATTATGATCAGGTTTCTTTAAGGTCTCTGCAGCCATTTTATTTTAAGCCCTTACTCTACTCCCTGATTAATGCGCCCTTTTACTTAAGACCGCTTGGTTTCGCACCTGAATTAAAAGTACAATGCTATAGTTTTTCAAATGATGGATGAAGCAAAGCTTTGTGAGAGGGGTATATTTCTTTAACTGCTTGTAATATTAGAGAGCACTATCTCTATATGCTATACAAGTGTTTTAGGCTGGAAAAAAAATGCTTCTACACTACACAATTTTTGTGCAACATTCTTAAAACCCAATATGAATCTCTACTACTTTCATTTGATCTGATGTAACATATCAGATTCCCAATTAAAAAGAAATACAAAAACGGTACAAAATCTAAATAAAAATAAATAAATCGAAGCATTTTTAATTGAAAAGTAAATGGCCATCAAGTAGACTGTGTGACATATGCTAGACAAATGAAATCTAAATGTAATTCAAACTGTGAAGCCAACACCTACTTTCATAAGTCACATAGGCGATGGTGATGCCTCCGATCTCAGAGTCACTGAAGCGAAGCAGGAAAGTTCCACTGTGACACTCTTTGAGAATCAGGTGTATATGTTGCTTCCCAATGAAGCCGAAGATAAGCCTAGTGAAGAAAGATTGATAATTGAGACTGAATAATATGGAATTCCTACATTATTGACTGAGAGACAAAAAGCGTGCTCTCACCCGTCACTCCAGTAGGACGCCAGATGTTTCTTAGTCAGATCCATTGCTCCCTCAAACCACTGCCAAAAAGTGAAATTTCGACCCGTGAGAACCTCCTGTAAAGTTAAAAGGTAAAAATTAGACTTGTATACCATCTGATGTTGGTAGAAAATGTGACATATCTCTGCTTACTTTGTTAAACTGGCACCAAGAAACCATCATGTTGCTGAAGTCATCTGTATATTCAGGCTGATCAAAAATCTTCTGGGCTAAGAAGTGCTGGTTGAAAGGGTCAAGTTCGTGATTGGTTTGGACCTCTGAGCGGAATTTATAGTTTAAAGTTTCAACCATCATCTTCCAAGGTACACGGTCAGGGACAACGAAGGGTAATCTCTCCTAAGGACATGAGAGAAAAACATTAAAATAGTGAATACCATTAAGATTCTTTAGAGACTGCTGCCTCTTAAGCTGTAAGCCACTGTTACATTCAAACCAGTGATTATCAAAAACTGCTTTCTGGATTTAAATTATGCTAATTCTATTTCTTAGCAATGTCTCAAATCTTTTGGCAAAAAAATGTAATTGAAAAATAATATTCCCTTTCATTTGCAAAAGAAAACATGACAGAGGGTTTCTGCACACTTTTTAGACTTTTCCTAAATGCAAAATTAAAAATCAAAATATTTAAGTTTATCATCACTTTTATTAAAACCGTCCAAAAAGGAAGCTGAAAAGAAGACAGAATGGATAATCAAAGGAGGGAAAAAATTAAAGTCACAAGAACGGATGGAGAGTGGGAAACATCAAATCAAGATTCAAGGATTGAGAAATGAGGATTCTTAGAGGGAAGGAATTTCTTCCATCCACAGTTTGGGTAACAGTATTAGACTTAAACAAGCTCAACAAGCTAATTAAGAAGGCCAGCTATTTTCTAGGAACTCCTCTAGAACCTCTGGAGATTATTTCCCGAGGAAGCATTCTCCATAAATAAAAAAAAAAACTATGGAAAACAGTGAGCATCCTCTAAAGAATATTTTTAAACAACTACAGTGTCTTCAGTGAGAGGCTTCGCCAGATCCGGTGCAAGACAGACCACTACAGGAGATCATTCCTGCCTATAGCTATAAGAACCTAAAACACCTGGTTAAAAAAAAGACTATGAGTTACTGCAAGATTTAATTTCCCTTTTGGATTAATAAAGTATTTTTGAATTGAATTGAATACTGAGAGGTCCAGTCCTATTTGTCTCACTTACTCTCGTTTTGCACCCCATTAATTTTAAGAGCTAGGGGGTCAACCACGCATCTTTAAAAAACATATGTTGAAATATCTTAGACGTAAATACAACTGAATTCCTTACTGTTGTGTTAAAACATTAAATTTATTGCATTATTGCTATTTTTCATATTATAAAAATCTACCAATTTTTTTTTCTTTTTTTTTAACGTAAAGTAGAATGATCATGACCACGGTTAACCTGACAACAGCCAGATGCATGTCTCGCTCCGCCTAGCTCCACTCACATACATCTGGGAACCCGCCATAGGAATTGCCTTTACTGAAGGCTGGGCCTTATCAAAACTCCTTGCATATGATTGGATAAGCCACTTGTCTGTCATCTTAATTGACGTGCTATTTCAACCACTCACACCGAAGCTAACCCGTGACGCTGTGAGAAGAGGAGCCATTTGGTAGATCAAGCTCTTGCCAAATCCGGTCGAGAGAAGGGCGAAAACATCGTTTCCACCAACAAAAGCCTTCAAAGCCGTTCTCTGATGTTCTTTTAATGAAACAATATCAGATAGATTGGACAACACAGAAGAAATAGCAGCATCAATGCTAACGCTTGCTTCCTCAATGCGAGCCGCCATTGTTGTTGGAATCTCACGGTCGCTTCTCCACTCCAGGACACACCCGCCCTGCGTCCTGATTGGACAGACCATAAATTCGGTTGGGGAAATCACTTTCAATGAGCAGGTTCCAAGATGTATGTGAGTGGAGCTAGGCGGAGCGAGACATGCATCTGGCTGTTGTCAGGTTAGACCACGGTAGGGTTGGTTGGAGGTAGGATATCCGGGCTCTGTGGGGTCAGCGGGATCTAGCTCACGATTGATCCCATTGAGGGTTCAGATTTCGGCCAGCGTGTCTCTGCTGCTCTGAGAAGAGCTGGGTCCCTCAGTCTGATCCCCCCGGACTGGATCCCTCTGCCTGCGCAGGGCATTGGTGTCCGGTGTTGGGCTTCTAACCAATAGTATCACGTAATCACCATTTTTATCTTGACGTGTGGAATCGCAACGGTCACTATAGCAGCATAGATGGTATAATGTTATGCATAATTCTCATAGCCCTTTTTTAACTGCACAGCGTGCAGACATGGTCCCTGTCATAAGGCATGATTTTTCAAATTTATGAGTAATATCTCTGTAGTTCCTGGGCTAACCTTTTGTCCTAATAAATGATTCAAAATACGATTTTGCACATTTCTTCTCTGTTGGTTGGCCACACAGAGAAATGTCACCAGCGCCCAAGAAATAGGTTAAAAACTGCTGCAGTTAAATTTTTGAGATAAGTACTGCTCTATTGCCTTTCATGAATGATGTGTTTACAGGACATGTGAAGAATATGTGATGGCTTAGTTCTGGTTCAATATTGCAGAAGGAACTATTTGGATTTATTTCAAGATATTTAGCTATTTCATTATTTTTTAGGATAGATGTTATAAAGAATTTTAAAATAAATTTCACATGCTTTATTGTTAAGGGGACATTGATGAGGTAGCGAGTGTGATTTGCTCCAGTCTGTTCGATTAAAACTGGAATTCCAGTAGAATTTGCCTCTTGGTTTGAGGCATTTGGATTGTTGAAATTTGTTGCACATGTGTTTCTTATAGTATTTGGTTCCAAAAAAAAATAAAAAAAATACAGTCCATGAGAAACAATTTGGTGGTCAAAGTTGGAGTAAATTGTTTAAAAATTGTTGGAGTCCATTGGGATGCACTAAATAACTGGTTTGTATTCCTTGTATCTTATTGGAAACTGATATTTCATCAAAAAGTTGTCGTAGCTAATTATACTACCATGATTGTCTATTAATTTAGAGGTGGTTGTGATATCTTTAATTATCCATGCTGGCTCATAAATTTACTTTTTATGTTTTGCAATATATTTGTTGTTAAATATTATGCATGTCTCTGGTGAAAAATTATGAGTGATGCAGAGTTTCCATGCAGAAGGTTGTGACTCAGGTTGAGTTTACACATGACGTGAACTGAAGCGTACAGGCTATTTATTGCTGCCATCAACTGGACTGGGATGTCATTTTACAACTAGTGGTGTCCCATTTCTTAGGGAGAAAATCTTCACTTGCACTTTCCTCATTGAGTATACTTCACTGTAAGAAGTAACTCACTGGAGATGTCTCAGAACCAAGTGAGAGAAATGGGACAGGGCCAAACAACCCACTCTGCTATCAAGGAAGCAGACATTCCATTAAATAACCCAAAGTTGCATGTGGTCTTTATTTCCATTCTATTGATTTTCTTGTTAGTTTTTATGTAGTTTCTTTTTTTGTTAACAAAGACTGAGAGTCCATTTTACTCATTGTTTTAGGGTGTTTTTGGCTGTCTTGTCAAATCTTCTATAGAAATTAAAGTTTATGTTTGAGAGGAAGTGCCAGTAATATTGTATCATTATAATTTTATAACCCGAAATGGTCTCCAAATGATAGTATTAATGTTTATCACAACAATTTCTGAAGCAATTTATTGTCCAACAACAAATTTAATTGTGACAGCCCTAAGGGGGACACTAAGAAGAAGAGAAGAAAGGTAGGATAACATTAGGAACAAAGGCAAGGAGAAAAATAAGCAAGGAACTAAAGATTTAAAAAAAATACTGAAATATTTAAATAATCTTATTCATACTTACCATAATTTTCTAGATAAAAAATAACTATGTTGATATATGCAAGGTGAACTCAAAAAAGCGTAGAGGCAAGGGCCAAAAGAAGTGCTGTCTACAATGTCACAAACTAAAGATCTACCAGCTTCAAAGGTTTAGAAGAAATAATCACAATGCATCTAGTGAGCATCTTTAATGCGGTGGCCCACCAGGTTACGATAAAATATTCCCACATTTTACGTCAACATGAAATGCCACGATAACAAACAACTAGTTCGGATAATCTCCAAAACAACAGCTCTTTTGCAGTGTTTATTACATCAGCGTCATGAAAGAAAGCATTATGCTGAAGGATAGATTACAAGCATGGCTGGACCAAGAGGTAGATTAGTTGCTTGGTGAGAACACAGTGCTAGGAAGCACTATGGGAAGCAAAGAGCAAACAAGGAAGGGAGAAACAAACAGAAAACTGTGTTCTCTCATTTTAATATTCTGTTAATGTTTCCCTTTCTGTGTAAATTATTTTCTTCTACTTAGGTTGGGTAGTTGCTGTGCCAGATGTCAAAAGCAACATGTTAAACATGCTTCCTAAAACTCAAGACAGCACAGGAGGATAAAGAATTTTAGAGTTAAAAAGGAGAAATACAAACATTCGTAGCTTCCAAAAGAGGAAACTACAACCAAATAATAACTTGATACCTACTGGTTCAGCAAATGCACAGTCCCATATGATCGTGGCTACTGCGTTGTTGTCCTGACTCCCGTGAACAATGATGACAACAGGCTGAGAGATTATCTGTAACAAGCAATGTCAGACAATGTGAAGTTGTTTTTACAATGAAAGTACTATTTATGAAGTTTCTTGTTTAAAGCTGTTTTATTTTGTGAGAGCTTTAACTGACAAATTCAACTGCAACTTTGGCTTGAATATGTAGAGTTTGGAGCAGGATTTTCTTAATGAGCAAACTGTTTCTGTTATACTTTTTGTGGACAGTGACCCTGGTGTTAAAGTTGTGTCTTTTTCTTGGCAGGACAGAATCTTTCTGGATCCTGAATTGCACCAGTACACATCTAAACGAGGGTGCAAATGGATAAAGTAGCCAAAATGTATTTTCTGCAGAGCTCTAATCTCAAATATATAGAAAATGCATTACAGCTTTTAAGGTCGAGGCAAATTAGCAATTTAAATTGGTGCCTGGCAAATTATTGCAACACAGAAAGGAATTGTCTGAATAAGACAAAGACAATACATTAAATCACAACTAGGGTTGTCAAAAGTATCGAAACTCAAAAAAGTATCGATACTGAAATGTTGTATCCGGATACAATACTCGTTTTTAAAAGTATCGATACAGTGCCGTCACCAGTGGCACCAAAGCAGTCATTCATCTAAAGTGCAGAATAGAGGACAATGCACTTTCAGAACACTGTGTGTTTGAATATTTCTGTGCTCTTTTCAGTTTCAGACTTTTTTTTTGTAAGAGGTGCAGCTGCTGAGAATTATTTTTGTTTCTTAACTGGTTTGGCTAGTGTCATTGTTATGTGTGCAAAGCATAGCCAAGGAAGGAACACTTAATTTGAAATTTATAAGTTTTTTATCAAGCTTGCTTAATATTATGCACAGCATACAACCTTTATTGTGTTTATTTATTAATGAAAATATTTCTGTTGAATTTTGGAGTCTTTTATCCTTGTGGTATCGAGTATCGAATATTTTCCTTAGTATCGGTATCGAGTTGAAAAGTTTAGTATCGTGACAACCCTAATCACAACCTCCAATAACTGTGAGAAAAATCCAATTTGAAAATTAATGTCTGGTTCAGTAAGTGGCAGGATACAATATTTAAATGTGTAGTGCATATATACCCTGCTTATCTATACTTTCGGCCATATGCCTTGGGCATTCAGGTGGAAAGAAGGGCAGAGCTTTTCATCGATCACCATCTGGTGGTGAGTTGGATATGATGGAAGAGGAGGAAGCTAGGCAAATTCTGCAGGGCCAAGTAAGTCACAGGATCTCCTTGGAACATCTTGCAAAGCCCTTGGTCAGGGAAATATTCAATTCCAAATCTGGGAGAACTTTTCTTAGATTTTGGGGTGATTGGGGACATAGCAAACAGGTACAGTGAAACCCAGCATGCCAGGGCAATTGCAGAGGCAAAGTATCGGGCCTGAGAAGAGTTCAGAGTGACCATGGAGAAAGATTTTTGTTCGGCCTCAATGATTGAACGTCTGCAGAGGGGGAAACAGTGCTTTGTTTAATGTCAGAGAGGAAAACTACTGGTCACAACTGAGAAAACTTGAATCGTGAAAGGAATACTTAAAAGATATCTTCTACTATGCTGTCATGCCATTCCCAGTTAAAGTAAAGGGTGGATGATCAGAGTTTGACTTGTTCTTCCTAAGTCACAATGGTGGTCAAAACAAAATCCATCATGTCAAAGCCTTAGGAGTGGATGACATCTGCCCTGAAAACTTTGGCCTCATGATGTTTTTGGGCTCTCGATGTTGACAAGCCCTTCCGTATCACAAGGCAGTCAGTGCCCCTTGGACTAGCAGACAGGGGTGGTGGTTTTAACAAGAAGAGAGCGTGGCGTGTGTTCCAACTACAGGGGGAAATCACTTCTCAGCCCCCCTGGGAAGGCCTGTGCCAGGGTACTGGAGAAGAGAGTCAGGCTGACTCTCAAACATCGGCTTTAGGAGGACAGTGTTGTTTTCGTCCTGGCTGTTGAACACTGGACCAGCTTTACACCACCTACAGGGTCCTTGAGTTTGGAATATGAAATTGGTGACACCCTACAAGGGAACGTTTAGTTTCTGTAAGGTGGAGCAGAAGTCTGGTCCACATTTCTGACATTTGGTTGTAGCTGATTCCAGTGCATGTCGGATTCCTTTGTTACTGGTCCCTGTTCATAACCTTCAGGAATAGTATTTCTAGGTAGAGCCAAGGACTAAAGGGCCTCTGCTTTGGGGACAAGCAGACTTCGTCATTGCTTTTTACTGCTTTTTTTCCTGCCAAGACCTACAGCATGTGCAGGGGTGGTTCACAGCTGAGTTTGAAGTGATTGGGATAAAGATCAGCTCTTCACAGTCCAAGTCCATGTGTCCAGTTGAAGGGGTGTTACTTAGCTGGAGGACTTCAAGTAGTTTGGGGTTCGGTTGTCAAGTGAGGGGACAATAAGGTGGGAGATCGATAGGCAAATCTCTTCGTCCACCGTCATAATGTGGATGCTGCATCAGTCCGCTGAGGTCAAATGAAAGTTGAGCCAAAAGGCAAAACTCTCTTTTCTCTTTTTACTGGTTGTTCTACATTCATACACACACCTATGATCATTAAATATGTGCCATGGGCAAAAGAACAAGATTCCAGATACAATTGGCTGAAATAATAGTCCCCTGCAGAGGGGCTATGCACTCCCTTAGATATATGGTGAGGAGCTCGGCCGTCTAACTAAAGAGGAGTCAGCTGATTTGGCTTGAATATTTGTTTTGGATGGCCCCTGAACGCCTTCAATTGGAAGTTCCAGGAAGTTCCAAAACATGCTGGAGGGTCCATGTATTTCAGCTGTCCTGGGAGAAGGAAGTCTGGAAATCTCTGCTGAGACTCCTGTTCCCTCGATCAGCAGAAGATGACGAATATCAGTAAATCAGTTTATCGCACCTATTCAATTAGGAGTAATAAATTAATAAATTTGATATATTTCACCATAATAATACAATGGACTAAGGTAAATTTACTTATTAAGTCCATATATTCAGCTGAATGGACTCTATTGTGGCTTAACCACCACACCGGGAGTATTTCTTTATGTGACTAGAGTTCATGCAGAGCAGTTTGGAGCATTTTAGTAATGTAAAGATAGAAAATAAGGGTTAACCATAATAATTATCCTTACCACTAATTTCAGCAACTGTAATGCAATATACTATATACGTGAACTCTTGAAGTTAAAGTTGAACTACATTTTGAAAAGCAAAATTTGCATATAATCTTCATGCGCATAAACAATATATGTAAGCTTCTGACTTGCAGAGGTTGGAGATGTGGAGTCAACAAGTCATCATCATGCCATGTATTTGTCCTGCCCAGCCATTGAACTAGGGTAGTCCAATCTGCACAATTTAATTCACTGTGCCGATAGAACTCACCTCGTTAGGTGACAAAGGGCAGAATAAATACATGACATAGAGATAACTTAATGGCTCCACATCTCCCATCCCTGCTGACTGGCGCTGCACATAGTGTGAGGATATAGAGCAAATTAGGTTCTGGGACAAACCTGTATCCTGAAAGGCACTTCATAATTTGTGATTGCGATGTTTGCAGTGAACATGAGGGCAAACTTCTCCTCTGTCACAGATTCAGCTCCCTTCCTGTCTGCTCGCTTTATTTTCTTAATAGACTGTTGAAGAAAAATACAGAATGTTCAAACAAGACTGAACATTGAATGCATATGTGAAATGCTAAATGAGGACTGTTAAATACCATGTTTCTGAAGGTGGCATTTGTGGTCCTGGAGGCTGTATTTTTATCCATGACAGCTGTATTGTTGATAAGTTCTCCAACATTTTCACTGAATGTAAGAGATTTTCAAGTTAGGTTATCACCTTCAAAATTAAGTCTATGGTGACTTTACAATAAAACTGGACAGTTAGAATTTTATCAAACTAAATTTTTTCAATTATCATAATGACAATATAGGCACAAAGGAAACAAACTTGATTTAAAAATAAACCTTACAAATACATTTTTTTTCCTTTAATCTTTTAAATAACGTATATTATATAAAGCAATGTAAACATCAGCTTGGCTCTTAGTGAAAAAGTACCCCGCCCCTTGTTAAGTCATGAATTGTTGTAGTTTCTCCCATTTTCAGGAGAGAAAAATTTGACTTTCCACACCAATGTTTTGATTACTGTCATATCATTACTGATAACAAACTACTCAAATAAAACCTTTCTGACAAAATAAATTGGGTAAGATCACAAAAAAAAGAAAGCATGAAAAAACAACTTGAAGTGGCTCTGCTAAACCACTTCAAACGATTTAGGGCAGCAGCAAACTATATCAATAAAGGGAGAAAATTTAATAAGTAATCAACCTTCTGGAAAGATCAATCAACCCAAATTACTCAAAGATCATATTAACCACCAATCTAGAAAAGCATTTTAAGTAGTGGAAATGGTTTGCCTCAGTTAAGGTCATTGTTCAATATTTAGCCATAAAAAGGAGACAGAGCAGCAGACCGGAAAACCAGCGGAACATTTTGATAATCCCCAAAGGTTACAAGAAATATTTGATGGGCAGGAAAAGCAAAAGCAGATGTTTCTGAAACACATGGTCGATATATCTACATTGAAACATTGTGGAGGTCATGTGAACATTTTTGTTGAAAGGTTTTGTTGTGTCAACAACTGTACATCTTTCTGTAACTGAGCTGCACCTTTTTTTTTTTTTTTTCACTTTCTTTAGTTGGTGAGCTAAAGCTAGAGCACAGCCAGTTTGAGCTGCAGAAGGGAGAGCCAAAGCAAATATCGTTTAAAGAAATCCAGTATCGATCAAAACTTTAGAATATGTCTTTCCTCAAGGGTCCATCTTAGGGCCCTTTTTATTCAGTATCTACATGCTCATATCATAACATGAATATATAGTCCTAATATAAAAACAACATAAGTTATAATTACTAATAAATATGCACATTTGCACATTACAATGTCACCAGGTAAATTTTAACCAATCAGTTAGACACGTTTATTAATAATTATGACAACTTTAGCTGTCATAAGCCAATCGGCTGATGACAAGCTCATAAAGAATTAGCATACTGGCCTAATTTGATCATGGATGCCACAGTTTGACAAATGGGGCAGCTGGTGAGGAAATACTGTGTTAACACACACACAAACTTGTCTCACTATAATTGGGCTTTCTATTGACTTCCATTAATGTCTATAGCCTAACTATGACCCTTACCCTAAACCCTTACAGAATGTGTGTATATATATGTATATATATATATATATATATATATATATATATATATATATATATATATATATATATATATATATATATATATATATATATATATATATATATATATATATATGATGTTTGAATCAGCTGAAGTTATATTTCTGTGTGTAATTTTAGCCGTTAAACTTTATTTTTAAGTAAATACTGTAATGAGAAAAAACATTGTGATTTCACATGAGACTTAAAACTTATCTCTTCAAAAATAAATCAAAAAGAGTAAGCATCTAGCTTTGAATGTTACTCACCCAGATGCAAGGCTCAAGTTTTTAGCCTGGTTTTCATTAATAATCTGTGCCCTGACCGTCACAGGTGTCCCAGGTATTAGTTTTTCCCCCAGCAGGTATCTCACAGTTGCTGAAAATTTTGACTGTGTTTTTATGACCTGAGGCGGTTGTTTTTCCACAACAAAAGAGCTGCGCAAAAGAAAAGAAAGAAATTTATTATTGTAAAAAAATAGTGAGTGTATGTAAAACAATGAAAATGCTGAGATAAACAATTTGTCTCAGTTTATCATAGACTTTGAAAAAAAATAAAAATAACAGAAAGCGTAGGACAAGTGTACAGTGCTACCTTTCAATCAGATCCTTAAGACATGCCTTCAGCTCTTCTTTGATTTCTTGGATGGGTTCATTAATCAGCATTGCCTCCTGGTAAAGGTTACTGTTTATTGCAAGCAGCTGTTCAGACCTGATTAATATACAGGAACAAAAGAAATGTGAAAAACTCAATGAAAAATCTGGTTCAGGACAAAGTTAGTTGGTTGGTTTATACATCCTCCTCACGCCAAAGTCTAGTGGCAACACAAACACAATCATACAGGGGGAAATGTATAAAGCTGACACTTTGTGGTATAAAATTCAAACTGCTTCACCACAATACAGCACAACACAACATGAGTGAAGCTTTACTTTGGTTACTGATCACTTTGATTTCCGCTCACTTGTTAATACAGAATTGTTCTAATTTTTTTTAAAGCAAACCTCTTATATTTCTCAAAAGAACGCCATACATTAAGGGTTTCCCTTCTGCCTTCTCTTAAAAGGCTAATCTACAGTCTGTGCTTAGTATTTAAAATGAAAAAACTTTTACAACTATTAATACAAAATACATTTTTTTAAAACAGTGGATCACACATAATTTTTTCTACAAAATGACTCAACCACTGTGAGTCTTAGCTCCTGAAATTATAAATATTCTGAGGTTTTCATAGACCAATGTTTTTTAATGAAAAACTCTGAAAATGCATTTTTTTGCTATTTTTTTTATCATACAGTTACTAAAAAAATATTTTTAAAAACATATATAAAATTGTTTGAATTGTTCTAAAAACACATTTTAGTTTGATTTATCAAATTATTTCAGTAGAGGTCTATTACAGACTGATGGGTCAAACAAGTGTCTACTGGGCTTTTTGATATTTATTGCAACAGTAATGATAGCATGATATCAAGACAAAATGTTATAGCAATACTGTAGCTTAAAAAAATATTATAAATTATGACTAGCCTGTTATGTACAGTTAAAACAAATATCCATATATCCAAAGGCATTTAGATTCCATCCAACTGGCCATTTATACTATTAAACCTAAAATTATTTATGTTTCTGACATTTAGGCTTAAATTAATCTTTTATTTTAACAACACTAACATGTTTGTTGTGATTGGAAGTCTTATGGCGGTTTGAAGTGCCCTAGTCTGTGTCCTAACGTTAATCTGGATAGACATTTGGAGCTTACCAACAAGTATAAAACATCAAAACTCAGGTGGAGAGTTTCTTAGCATGTTTAAGATCTTAATTTCTTGATTTGTGCAGATTTTTTATATACCATTGGAATTACATTTAAATGAAAACAAATATAAAAAAGAAATAAATGTTTTCAAAACTGGTACTGCCTTTTTACAGTAGTATTGAAAAGTGAGTTATTTATATGACATTAACCAAATTCAGTCAACTGTACTTGTTAAATACCTTAAGGTATGTTTTCTTCAATAGGATATAAGATAAGCAAAGCACAGATGTACCACAACAAAGGGAGGAAACCTCACCAGGTCTGCAGTGGAAAGAGGTCATCATTAAAGGGATATCCTATAACAGATTTGTGCTGCTCCACTTTCCATGCATTCAGCCTACTGATGAAATCGTCCTGACTCGTTTTCAGATTTTCCACACAGTTTCTCAGCAGGTCTAAAAGATCCTGTGAAAGACAACCAAACCAACAAATTACCTACAAGATCACAGCATTTGCCTAAACAAGCACAAAAAAAAACCCATTAGGGAGTCAAGTTGAACTAAATGGTGTTATGTTCAGGTCTCAAATTGCAACTAGTGTTGTCTCACCGTTGTTTGCTGAACATGCTCTGTCTTAAGGCGCTCGCATTTTTGCTTGAGATGCATAATTTCCCTACTTAGTCCTGATCCATTCTGTTTATACTGGACTGTGGAAAGAAACAGCTGGTATTAATATGTCACATGTTGAGCCCGGTGTGAGGTCTCTGTACGCTACTTATCAAACATGACCATTTATGTGCCCTTCTGGCACATCCTGAACAGCAACATTTCTAGGGTATATATGAAAGCGAGAACCAGAACGAGGCTCTTTTAGTATCAAAAATAACTGGTGAGAAAATGTTAGCCTACTGGATTTAAGCAGGCTGGGGAGACAAAAGCAAAAGCACACAGATATGTCATTGTATAGAAAAACCTCTGCAGGAGATATAGGTGCTAAGATTTTATCATAGCACATATTGAAACAGAAGTTAAAATGCTTAAAATCAAAATCACACTTAAATTACATCACACAAAACTAGGGATGGGGATCGTTAATATTTATTGATATCGATACCTTTATCGATACTCCTTATCGATCCGAGTCTTTATCGATACCACTATCGATACTTTTCTGTTATTTGATGGAAAGACGATGCAACAAATTTTTTTTAACAGAACTGGTATTGCTTTTATTGCTTAACAAGTGAGCATAACAAAAACGTTTCTAGCCTTCAATAAACATGGCTAATGTAATAGGCCACTTCGAAATGACATAAAACTAACTAGAATATATTTTCACAATTGTTGGTTAATGTATTGTCTACTGTCACTTTTCATCATGTTTTTAGTGATTAGGAAAATATTTAACAAATAAATAATTGTATTTTAAATTAAATGTAATTTTTAATAAATGTTGGCATCAGTAGTTTAATTATATATAGAGCAATATACAACTGTAATACTCATGTTTCTCGCCAAAAACAAAATTTCCCGTTTTCTTTACGTTACACTTGAACGCATCATGATAACCTAATTGTCGTTTTACTGAGCCAATCTGAACACATCATCACGCAGCACGTCTGAAACTTTATTTACTTTTCAAGCTAACTAGCTTGTATGCTGCCGATTACAACACGGATTTCACAATTACTATTTTTTAACTGACCGGTCAAGCTACAAAGTCTGTGTGCGCGCTTACCAGTGGTACTGTGAGTGGATGATTAAGACGGGCCCGACTGTGGTGCGGCGGGGCAGCAGCAGGAGGAGGAGGAGTCTTTTCCGTTAAGTGCCAGACTTCATTTGTTTTACTTTTAATATCTGTTTGCTTACAATTTCATTCCAAAACATTGGTGTACATGCTGCAGTGATTGGATTGATTAGATTTAAATGCTGTGACGCGACTCGAGGGACACACAATTATGTTACAGGACCTCCGGGAGAAAAAAAAAAAAAACGACCAGACTCGATAGTGGTATCGATAAGCCCAAACGTTATTGATTTTCGGGTTTTGAAAAAAGTGGAACCGGGTCCTTGATGGAACCGGGTTTCGATCCCCATCCCTACACAAAACACATATTTGCCTGTTGTTGAAAGGACTTAATGGTATTGAAAATGATGCACAAATGTATCTTTTATCTGAGAGCATTAGTATGTTTTTAGTTTTAAACAACTGCAGAACCAACTCTTACCTTGCAAAGTTTCATAGTTTTGCTTCTCCCAGTTGTATTCTTCTTCGAGCTGATGCTTTCTTTTTCTGATTGACTGGGCCAAAACCACATCGCTCATCAGTTTCTTTATATCCTCTTCATGACTTTTTAATTTATGTTGAAGACCCCTCGGTTTGAAGTTGTGCTTCAGAAACAGAATAGTGTTAATTTAACTTGGTGATAGCTGGAGAGCTTTAGAAAAACTTCACAAGTTTATTTTTTTAACTTAAAACTACTATATAAACAAACATTATGGTTTTGAAAATAAAAACAACTATAACAGTTGTATATATAACATTTATGTTAGAAATAAATATGACAGTTTTATTTATAACATTTTAAGACCATATCTTTAGGCTGCAGAAACAGTCAAAGATTTTTTTTTTTTTTTTTTTTTTTTTTTTTTTTTTATACAGTCAAAGATTTAATTTTTATAAAAGCTGAGCTGCTACCAGGACTAACGCTTGAACATCAAATTAATAATTTCATCTGAAAAATTAATTTAAATATCTTTTAATACAGCTGTAATGTATTTCTCAAACTTTACAAAAATGCAGCATGTGCAAAAGACTAATAAAGAAAATTTTTCTTTGCCTGGACAAAAAAAGTTTCAACTAACAACCTTGTGCAAGCAAGACTGGTAGATATTTAATCTGTAAGAGACAATTTAAAAGTTGTATGATGACACTGGACTGCATTTGATCAAATAAGGATACAACTCCATTATGATGTAAGTCTTATCAACGGGATTTCAGACCATTTTAGATAAATCCTTGATGGACCTCTATGTGTTCTTGACTTATTGACATGCTTGGCTGTGCTGTGCTGTGATTGTGGCCAAATCTCTGCATTGAGGAAGTGGAAAATACAGCCTTGAATTCCTTAAATGGAGCCACTGGTTCAGATATGATGATGACACCGCATCAAATCCAAGCAAACATAAGCAAAAGAAGGATTTACCAAATGTTAACGCTCTATGTTATCTCTGCAGACCACTGGTACGAAGCAAATGCCAGAAAATTCAATTCACTAAGTTAAGTTCATTTGGAAAACAATATGACCCCTTAGCCCTAGTTATCCAGACCAAATCACTAATATACTTTACAATGCTCTGAGGAATCAGTGTTGTTTGTTTCATTGTTTCATCTTCTTATTGTCATCACAACATCATAAGTACAGAGAAACGAAATTCCCTCTATGCATTTAACTTGGGGAGCAGTAGGCTGGCATTGTACAGCACTTGTGGGGCTCAGGGTTTTTGCTCAGGGAGCCAGAGTGGCAGTCTGCAGGGCTGCAGGAATCTCAGGAATCCAAGCTCTATACCCCGACCACTAGGCCGCTACTCCCACACAGTGGAAACTCTGACATGAATCTGAATGATACACCACAACACTGCAAAATTCACAGTAAAGTTTAAATTAATACACCTTCAGTAAATACCCAACTTTAGAGTCTAAAATAACCTTACACATTTCCAACACCATTAGTCTCTAGACTTAAGTGCACTTTCCTATAAACTTTAATTGTTAAAATAGGAAGGTGGCCCTAAAAGACACAAAACTTATTTCTTAGTCCTGAATTTAACATCATGGAGATCACATTAATAGCTGACAAATGACAATACAAATAATTTAACTGTAAAAACCATTAATGAAAATAAACCATACCTAAAACATTGTCATGCCCCAGTGCAGCAAAATGAAATGAAAGCACCATCTTAAAATGTGTGTAGCCACATGGCCCTATCCATAAGAGAAAACACTGAAAAGAGGCCACAATAAAATAAAGGATTTCTTACCATGCATTCTAACAACAAATGCACCTGAGATCTAAGAATTTCTGATCGTACTACACTCAGTATTTGATATACTTTACTCTCCATCAAATGTTTTGAGCCCCAACAGTTGGCGCTGTTTATATACAACAACATCAAGTTTACCAGAGAGACTAGAACAACACACTTCCTTTAGTATACATGGATAAAGATGGAAGCCTTAACATTAGGGCTTACAGGAATTGATGGAATTGAACCCCTGGAACAGAGACCTCATTCGAAATCCGCCCCACAGAGTCAAACACTTCCCAACGAAGACATAAGGAAAGCATAAAACAAAATTTAAAAAATCTTTCCAATCCAGTAGATATCCAAACAGAGACTTTATCAAGTTAGGTAGGAAGTAGAAGACACACCACTGAATAAAATAAACATTAGAGCACTGTCATTTTCTGATCATAGCTGTCAATATATGCCTTTAAAATGTGACAGGAAAAAAATCTTACCTTTTTGAGGAGAGCCTTCTCCTCCTCTAGAACATTTTTGATCATCACAACAAACTCCAGAGGTGGCCGAGAAACCTTTAAGAAAATAAAGCTCTGATCACTCCTCTCCAAAAAACATTTGTTTCACAGAATTTCATCGAGCTGATCAATCCTTGCATGTCTTATATCTAATTCTACTATATATCATATTATTTTAGTTTTCCTATAATGCTTAAAGAAAACCAAGTAACTTCTTGCACATTTCCTAATGAAAAAACCTTTAAAATTCCCATGACTACATTTTTATTTCTCACTGGTCTTTGCAGGTCAAAAAATGCTCAGCAAAGCTTTTTTTTTTTCCTTTTTTAAACAGGTGTCTGATTATCTACCCACCAAGTACTTGCTTATATGCGTCAGCTTCATCCTTTCCACTATATTGGTAACATTCTGGTCAGAAACCATTGCCAAAACATGGAGGAGCTGGGTCATGCGAGCTTTTGCCGGTTCTTCTTGATGGGCATTTCCTAGGGAAAACTCATCCCTGTGAACACACACACATGCACAGATAGAAAATGAACTAAAGGAATCCATAGTCACAATAATCACCAAATGTATTATTATTATTAATTTTTTTATTTAAACCACCATAAAGTAATGCATAACTCCCAAGTGAAAATAATAATAGAAGAATATTTTATCTTTTATAAATTCTGTTTGTAAATGGACCCTTTAGTAAACCATAGCTGTAGCATAGCTAAAGTCAGAGTTTATAAACTTTTGAAGGAATGCCTATAAATATTTAAAACATTTGGCCACTGTTTTTAGCCAATTCTAATTTGCAAACTATTTTAAGCTAAGGGAGGTTAGATTGATAGGATCTGTGATCAGAAATGTCCAAGTCCTGCTGAAAATCTATATTTAGATTAAGGTCTAAGCTAGGGCTGCAACTAACGATTATTTTAAAAATCGATGAATCGGCCGATTATTTTTTCGATTAATCGATGAATCGGACAAAAAATATTTTTTATATTAACCTCTTTATTCCAAAATAAACATTTTAGACAGAACAAACAAGTACAGGTTGCTCATTAACTGTACTGGTGCAATATGAAAAATAAATGTTTGTGTTAAAACTACGCAAACTTACATGAGAAATGTAGCTGTACATCCACAAAATATAGGGTACTTTGTTTCATAAAGTGCAAAAAAAGACATTTTTGCTTTTAAAAGCCCCTAAGGGTTTCAAACAATAGGTCCCCCCATTTCAACAAATGAGGTTTTTTTTAGACTAGAAGAGTTCTACCTTTTAAGACAGGAAAGTATAGCAGTTAAAGTTGCTACTTGAGAATATAATTAACCATAGAGATAGAAATAGCCCTGTGATTCAAATCATAAATTGTATTTGGAATAAAAATGAGAGAACTAGGGGTGCTAAAAAAACACATCCTCCAAAGACAGATATTTACATGGGAATGTGACATATAATTAATTGACATATTACTGATCTTGCTGGATTTATTCTGCTTTACTTCCATAAATTGCAGGATCTTCTTTACTTTATCTTTGCCAGAAGATTTAAACTTTAAAAGCCTTCATTGCCTTCATTGCCCTCATAATTTGCTAGTTATTTTATTTATAAAGAAAATATAAACGCTGCTTAAGCTAATTCAAATGAAATTAAAAGTAAAATAAGTAGCCAACCATATCACTGTCTGTAACCTACTAACAAGGTAAGGAAAGCATCAGATGGGCTACCTGAGAAACTAACGTTACGTTTCCCCACTTTAAAACGAAACAAACATGGTGGTTCCGTGCCATGTTAATTTGTTTTGACAAAAGTTGCATGTTATCACTTTTTTCACTTTACAAAGCGCAGGCTATTTTAATTATTGTGATCAATTTGCGCCGTCAATCCTGGCGCATGTGCGCTTCATTTGCAGTCTGGACGCTGAGGGTAAACATCCTGCAGCTCTGACTGAAGCGCTGAGAGGGACTCCTGCGAGAGCGGGAGAACGGGGTTGGGATGGGGGAGGCGTCACACGGCAGAGTAGGAACTATACATGCTTTCACGTAAGAGTCTCCAAAAGCCGCCAGTGACACCGTAGAAAGTCGCCAGATTTGTCGCTAGTCGCTTTTTTGAAAAATAGTCGCTGGAGGGGTCTGAAAAGTCGCTGAGTTGGCAACACTGCACCTGCGGCGCTGACTCGCTCTGCCGTATTTTTTTTTCTTCCCCCGTTTCAGTCAAGTGGATGTGACGCATTAATCGCGCGACACAACTAATCGATGATGAAATTCGTTGCCAATGCTTTTAAAAGTACATTTTTATCGATTTTATCGATTCGTTGTTGCAGCCCTAGTCTAAGCTATCCTAATAAATCAATAAACCTTACTGCATGTTTAGGATAGTTGTCTTGGTGAACTTTTGCTCAAGTGTTATCAATTTTTCATAATCTAATACCCATTTTTTACTGATAATTGTAGTCCTGCGCAGCTTTACTATGCTCAGACTCTATTCTGCATGAATCCTGTCGCATATTCATGGTTTCAGTGATAGCTGGAGGTGTGGCTTAAAGCATGCCTCGAGGTGCTGAGGTATTTCTTTTACTAAATCTAATGTAAGTAGTCTGCTCAAGGCCAGCTGCTCGCTACCAAATTTCCTTTACAGGGTTTTGATGTGAGCAAAGTACGGTAGACGTTGGTGTAGGATAGAGGAATTTGTCCTGCAATGAGATGGTCACAAGTTAATTCATCTTAGTCATTTTGTCCTTAGGGAAGATACATAATCGTTTTGTTTGAAGCACTTTGGGGTCCCCTATATGGAAAAGGTAATAAATTTTAGGGAACGCCGAGTCAGCATCTTAAAGCAAACCACTGAAACTAATAAGTATTGGTTCCCTGATACAACTTTTTCAAATCCGATATAATACTGATAAATTGACTGATACTGACTGGATACAATATTTGAATGATCGTTCCAGCTTTTTTTTAGATTATTTTAGTGTAGAAGCTTAGAATACGCTTGATGAAGTAATACTACGAAAAGAAGAAAATAACATCAACAACAAAAGGCATGAAAACAATGGACTGATGTAAAATTAACCAATTAGTTGCAGAAACTTTTAACAAAAGCAGAGTGTTTTTATCAGTATGAAAAAGTCAGAGTTTATAGATGCTGGCCAATATTAGTGTTTTTGGCTTAAATCAGAGCGATATCAGATATTGATATCACTCTGATTTAAGTCTTGGGCTCCACCAAGCCTGCCTCAACCTTCAGTGATGGGGGGATCCTTCACTTCAAGATCTAACCCTGACATAATGTCCAGCGGCACCCTGCTCACTCTCCATGCTAGAAAGCACTTTCTGACCACACCTCCTCTAAACCAGCTCAACCTCTACTGCTTATTCCAACACTTAGTCTTTACCTTTAGAGTCTCTTGGCACTAAACACTTTACCAGCCTTTTTCACAGGTTGTCTTGGGAGCGGTTGTGGTGTTAAATTGAGTTAGGTTACACAATAATAGACTTTTGTCTATGTCTTGTCTTTCCCCTTAAAAAAGGGACATCTGTAAACTTGTTTGATCTGGAGTAGGATTCCCTTGACCGTATTCACACCAGTGTTGTTTTTGATAGCCATCTTATATTTAGTCTTAGTCTTAATAATAAACTAAGACTATTATTAGTCTAAGTCGCATTTTAGTACGATATGTGATAGTTTTAGTCGGTTTTAGCCGACTAAAACTATCAGGCAGAATGAGCATTGCTGCATGCCAGATGGGTGGCAGGATCAAACTAGATGCAGCAGCACAGCTGATACTGCTTGGCAGATTACAGCAACATGATGTCTGACCGAAGACCGGCTAATTTTTATTTAGTCTAGTCTCTTCTCATTGACGAAAACTCAAACCCATGACTAGTCATCAAAGATCCATGTTTAGTCCGTCAGTTTTCGTTATCATCATTAAAAAAAGATGACGAAATGATTTCAAGATCCTCATCGTTGACAAAAACAATACTGATTCACAACAACTCCATTTTAAGTGGACCAAATGTGACAGGTATGAATGCACACCTAAATAGAGTAGGATTTTCCCAACCATTGGTCCAGAACTTTTATGCAGGTGTGGCACAAACCATGATTTAAAAAAAAACACATTTCTGACCTATCTAGATTTGTGTTCATTCTTCATGATGCCTTTTATTTACTAATGTTATACATGCATGCATCAGTGTCTTACCATCTCTGCTCTTCAATCCAGTTAGCAAGATAATGTCTAACTTCAAGTGGGAAGACATCTGGGTGGTAGAGGCTGTTGACTGTAGCCTCATCCAAGCGAGTAAGCAGAACAGTCATGTCCATCCACTGGGCCATGGTTAAGCTGCTCTAGGACACAGAAATGAGTACAAACAGTGTTTTAACATCAGAATGTCATTAAACAAAGCATAAGTATCAAATAGAAAACAAATTTAGTATTTTGTGTATTTAATTGACAGATATGTAAATAACTGTCTTTTTTGGGGGTGGGACCTTTTTACAGAAACAAATTCTGCCACTTGGCAATAAGACACTTTCTCAGTTTTAATATTTGAATGAGACAGAGACAGTGTAATTGAGAAGATGCGTAACTTTAACTGTTACAAGAATAAAATGGAAAACTTGGTTATAACCACAGAGGTCTAGAAGAATACCTTTCAGTTTCTCATGGGTTGAATTGGACAACTGTAAAAGAAACTATTACAACGCATCAAAATAGCCAGCTTAGAAAGTATCTGCAAACCAGCAGGAGACTCAATGGTGTTAGCTAAATCCAAATGTCAGCTATTACATTAACAAATGTTAAAAACAAAACAAAAACAAAAACAATACAATGGTTGAAAATAGCTGCGGTGAAGAACTCAGGAATAATAAAATCCAGAAAATCATGGCAGAGTTCAGCACCAGAGGACTGTTCTGACTGAATGATTACTTTTCCATCTTGACTCATGGGGAAAACCTCCTTCCTATTGGGCCACTTTCAGTCAAAAATTCTTAAGTATGTTTGCCAATCAGCATCGATCGGCCAGCTTCACAAGCGCCTCTGTTCCTTAGACCCCGTAAGAGCGGTGTTATGGAGACTCAAACCTCAATAGGGATTCTCATAGAGACTTGAAAAACAGTGTCCTGCTGCTCCAGAGCAGAGGGGGAAAAAACAAAATTTACAGGGGTGGTTTAGACTATCTAGTATTCAATGAGAAATCACCACTGCTGCAAACATAATCACAATCATTTGGAATACTGAACCACAAGAACTTAGAGCAAGAAAGGCTTCACTCATATGTGATTGTGACGTTTTTGGGGAACCAAAACTAGCCTTTACAAGTAACTGGCTGGTGTTTTACAAAGCAGAGCCTAAACTAGGGCTGCAACAACGAATCGATAAAATCGATAAAAATCGACTTTTAAAAGCGTTGGCAACGAATTTCATCATCGATTAGTTGTGTCGCGCGATTAATGCGTCATCCGCCGCCGTCAGCAGGTGCTGCCGTGGGGCGCCTCCCCCATCCCAACCTAGTTCTCACGCTCCGGCAGGAGTCCCTCTCAGCGCTGCAGTCAGAGCAGCAGGATGTTTACCCTCAGCGTCCAGACTTCAAATGAAGCGCGCATGCGCCGGGATTGACGGCGCAAATTATTCACAATAATTAAAATAGCCTGCGCTTTGTAAAGGGAAAAAAGTCGTAACATGCAACTTTTGTATAAACAAATTAACATAACACAGAAGCACCACTGTTATGATGCAGCACCTGAAAAGAAAACACGTTGGAGCCTTTGATGGCAGTGAAGAGAGCTGATCAGCAGGGTGAGCGACCATGTTTGTTTGGTTTTAAAGTGGGGAAACGTAACGTTAGTTTCTCAGGTAGCTCATCTGATGCTTTCCTTACCTTGTTAGTAGGATACAGACAGTGATAAGGTTGGCTACTTATTTTACTTTTAATTTCATTTGAATTAGCTTAAGCAGCGTTTATATTTTCTTTATAAATAAATTAACTAGCAAATTATGAGGGCAAGGCTTTTAAAGTTTAAATCTTCTGGCAAAGATAAAGAAAATAAGATCCTGCAATTTATGGAAGTAGAGCAGAATATAATCCAGCAAGATCAGTAATATGTCAATTAATTATATGCCACATTCCCATGTAAATATCTGTCTTTGGAGGATGTGTTTTTTTAACACCCCTAGTTCTCTCATTTTTATTCCAAATACAATTTATAATTTGAATCACAGGGCTATTTTTATCTCTATGGTTCAGTATTTTCTCAAATAGCAACTTTAACTTCTATACTTTCCTGTCTTAAAAAGTAGAACTCTTCTAGTCTAAAAAAACCTCATTTGTTGAAATGGGGGGACCTATTGTTTGAACCCCTTAGGGGCTTTTAAAAACAAAAATGCCTGTCTTTTTTTTGCGCTTTATGAAACAAAGTAGCCTATATTTTGTGGATGCACAGCTACATTTCTCATGTAAGTTTGCGTAGTTTTAACACAAACATTTATTTTTCATATTGCACCAGGACAGTTAATGAGCAACCTGTACTTGTGTGCTTGTTTGTTCTGTCTAAAATGTTTATTTTGGAATAAAGAGGTTAATATAAAAAAATATTTTTTGTCCGATTCATCGATTAATCGAAAAAATAATCGGCCGATTCATCGATTTTTAAAATAATCGTTAGTTGCAGCCCTAGCCTAAACACGCAGCCAGAACAAAAAATTAGCCTATTAGGAAAGAAAAGCCAAATAGCTCTGACTGGCCATTTCAACCTAGTTGCATTTTCCTATCTATTAAAAAGTTTGAAAAAGCAAAGCTTCTTGAGCATTATTATATCAGACAAACCATGCTTGATCAGAAACTTTTAATAAATGCCCCCCTTGCCTTAAGAGTGTTAACCTCTTGTCTTAATGTTTACAGGGATTTACATCGCTATCGTAGCAGCAGACCAGTGTTAACCTACATTCCGCCATCATTTAATCAGCGAATAAAAATGTTTAGTAAGATATTTACTTGTTCAACTTTTGTCTGAAGCTTTTACTAAACCTAACAACAGAGGGGTCAGAGTCAGCATCGGCCTTGACATCCCATACAAGCATAAAATAAATGTACACAATTTTCAACATAATGGTCATTTAGAAATAATAACAATTTTAAAATAAGCTTACTGTCTGGACTGGATGTGGATGGTGTTGGAAATGACACATAACAGCAATAAAGCCCATAATTCTGGGCAGAGACTATGAGTCAAAAGTTTAGGGAAAATATTATGTGGACTGACAAAAGTGAAACATTTTGTAAAGGTGTGAATCTTTCGCAACCTTCAAACTTGTTGGTGCTTTCCCAAACGGTTGATGGCAGCTCTTTACAGCAAAGGGTGGCAAAACAGTTTTAGGGTCAGTAAGTAAAGGTCAGGTCTGTAAGACAGCTGTTTCCGCTAATAAATGAAATCGCAACCTTTGGTAGATTTAAAACATACTTTCAACTCTTGTTTATCCCAAACTGACATATAGAGAGCATCGATCTAATTCCAGTGGAAAAGTAGTCTGTGCTGTGCCAATCTGTTGCTTTCAGCATGTCAATGGAGTGCATACTTTATCTGCTTTGCACATGTTCATGGGCTTTGAACATGTTTGGGAAACCGTTCTATGTTGTAATATGGTAACTCTGAAGACTTGTTCCGAGGTTTGGGGGATTTCAGAATAGAGGGAAAGAAAAAAAGTGCAAAAGTTCTCATAACACTTTATTTATTGCATCTGGCATGCACACAGCACTAAGAAACTCCACAAGTTTTGAATCAGAGGAGATGAATAAGGACTTAAAATCATGTAAATTGCTGTGTCATTTAGTTAGAAGTATTGCTCATTCTGTTGGTTCCTGGTTGTGGAGAGTGGGGTTCATGTGTCAGAAGCATGTATAAGTAGGGATGCACGATATAATCGGCCCCCTATCGGTATCGGCCTGTATCGGCCTTAAAACTGAATATCGGACATCGGCCACCCCACCGATATTTAACCCGATATTTGATCAGCTTCTGAGTTTCTAAAGTCTAAAAAAAAAAAAAAATTCTACTTCTTCTTCTTCCTCAAAAACTTATTTTTTTACAGACTTAAAAACTTCTAAAGACGAGGGAAAAAATATTGATACATTAAAATATCACAAAATCTTCATATGCTGATATATTGCCATTTAAAAACACCATATCAATCTCTTTTACTAATGAAATATTGCGATATGTCATCGTTATGCTACGAAATCCCCCGAAAATTCACGAAATTTTGCCATATATTTATATGTTGATATATTGACGCGGTATCGATCTATTTTACTAACAAAATCTCACAAGAATTTGCAAAATATCACGAGAGTTTGTAACAGAATGATGAAATTTCACGAGATTTTGAAAGTAAAATAGATCGATACCGCACTTTTTAAAAATCAATTTGATATCAGCATATGAAAATAAATTTTAGTATATTATTTTTCAAAGTGTCAGAAATGGATAACAAAACTGCTATTTTCAATGACTACTTATTTTTGTCCAGCTTTAACATCGGTATCGATATCGGTTATCGGCTACATGAGTTTTAAAATATCGGCATATCGGATATCAGCCAAGATCCCAATATCGTGCATCCCTATTTATAAGGAGCAACTTTGATCTAGTTTGTAAGGATTTCAAGGGTTAACAAAATGGTAGCAAACGGCTGTTATTTTACAAATACATATCTATATTTGATATGCCCTGATTTTAACCCCCTAGCAATAATTGTAATTCTGCACCACTAAATAATTTAATGCTTAAGCCCTGCCATAATTATCGCAGATATAAACAGAACCCACGCAGAAACAAAACGTAAATCCTCCCGAGAGTTCAAGAACTCTTCTACTCGCCACATAGAACCCCTACTGCCCATGAAGAACTTCAGAACACATCTACTTGTACGTGTAGAACTTCTTTGCTCTTGTGCATGGTTTACCTGTTGCTTGCAGTTTGCACTGCTGCACTCACTCGCAGAAATACTTTTGGGCAAGTCCAGTGTGTGGATCTTGTTGACACTATATCATATATCTATGGTCAGCCTATGCTTCCACCCCGCGTGATTAAGTTCAGTCTCTGTCCTCTGCGATTGGCCATCACAGATGAGGGAGAAGAAGAATGTGTAAGAAGACGAAGCAGAAGAACTGCATGGCTGACAATCAAGAGTTAACATTCAGTAAAATACATATTTGCTTAGTTTTCATAATCATAACTATGTGACAGCAGTAAACCTGACATAAACTAACGCTATCTGACAAGCCTGTCCCATGTCTGTTATGCCAGGCACAGTGCCTGCTGTGGAAAAGGCAGTTGTGTTTATTACC